ATTTTTTATTCAAAATTGACATTTTCGCCCATTTTTCACCCGCACCTCCCCTTACCCCCAATATAGGGATTCTTTCACTCCAGTATTTTGAGAAATAAATAATTATTTTTAATTATGCAAAACTTGTTTATTTGTTGTTTGCTATTTCTTCTTGCGGTTTTCAAAAGTCGAAAATCGGTCATGGTGATCGAGATAACTAACATAAAGTAGCCAATTTGGCCCCCTTTCGTGCTTGAGATATTAGGGTTTGGCGAATCGACATAACCAATGAGAAAATGCTAAGACAGAGAGAATTTGGCGATTGCACTTCAAAAATATCGTCTTAATAGGGTTGGCGAGTTAACCGAGGTTGAGATAAGTGGGTTCCACTGTATATATATAGTTTTATATTTGTAATGTAATTGGGTATTTTTTATAAATTATTTTGCTAATTAATGAATAACTTGTGAAAAAGGCTGTCTTTTTGATACAGACATAAAGGCTCTGTCTCAAGAGGGAAAATATTTAATGCAGACTAAGAGATAGATATTATGATATAGAAGGTGTAGTTTTAGTATTGTCCCCCTATAGAATAGTTGTAATTGCATTAAATCATTATGATAGTTTGGTAGGTTTGGTAATGTTACTGTTATAAAGGGCACAAAGACTATATTAAAACTTCTAAATAACGCTGATAATATAAATTATTTGATTAAATTCAACCAGATCAGAAAATTTGAGAAAATTTGTTTAAATGCCCAAACTCTTATTGTTTACATGGTTGATTAAACCAACTAATTATTTATAGATATGTCTTTCATGAAGTTTTTACTAATCCCTCAAGTTTAAGATGATGATTATTTTGCAACTAGATCAGCCATAGAGTATATCTGCAATTTATTAATTTTAAACACACTGGAATACACACAGTGGGTCTAAAGCAGCATATAACAAAAAATGATAGCTTGCAGACATCTGCAAGATCCATTATGCTCGTTCTGCAGTAGTCCTAATTTGAACAACCCCCCCCCCCCCCCCCCCCCCCATGCCCCTTGTGGATTTCCTTAACACTTTATATCCACATGCCGCTAAGCGCCACAGCGAATTATAACCTTTTATGCAAATGCATCTATGTAACAGAGCAACAAGAAAAATTCATGAATTACCGGTATCTTACTTTTGTTGCATGAACATCCGTGAATGTTTACTTCATTCCTAAATGGATAGACCACAACTATTAAATAAAAATAGCTTGTTTAAAAGTCCGATTTTCATCAAATTTTGAGTTTCTTACACTGATCAATAGCAATTTGTTAAAAATGGATTCAGAAGATGAATTTAATAGTAATGTAGATGTAATTAGAAATGGTTAATGAAACCATTTACACAATAATATATTTTTTATTCAAAATTTGACAATTTTGCCCATTTTTCACCCGCACCTCCCCTTAACACCCAATATAGGGATTCTTTCTCTCCTGTATTTTTGAGAAATAAATAATTATTAGAATTGTTTCCTGTTATTTTTGCTAGCCTTTTTAATTGAGACTCCTGTATTTAAATAAAAAAATGAGATCAATATTGTCAGACTTGACAAAATTATTGAGTTTACCACCTTTTTTTTCTCTGTGCCTGGGGGGAAGAGTCACATGTTTTTTTACTCTACGTACTTTGTGGATATAAAGTGTTTGGGGGGTTCACGTTATTATTTTTTTAAATCCTGTTAAGTCTTTGATGCATTTTAGTTTAAGAAATTGTAAGATTTCCCAGACATAAAAGGTGAATGTTTTATAGTTCCATTCCTATTTTAAAGGCCGGATAGGGTAGTATATGTGTTTGCAAGCAGCTTCATTAATCAGTCCTTACAATTCCATGTTTTGTAACTTGTTTCAACATTTATTTTATTTTTTAATTTAAATTCAGTTACTGAGTCCAAGGTAGATAAATCTAGTGATAAAGATGACTCTGATGAATTTGAGTTGATAAAGAAAGAAGATTTGGTTGATAATGGTGGTGGAGAGGATGTGGAAAATGAGGATGAAGATGAAGGAGGAGAGGACAATGAATGTGATGAAAATGATGACAACCAAGAAAGAGATGAAGAAGATGAGGATGAAAATAATGGAGATGATATCAAAGACAGTGAAGAGGAACTTGAGGAAGACAGAGACAGCCAATCAGAAACAAGCAAAGAAAAGGAAGATGATAAGAAGACCAAATAGGAACATATGTTATAATAACAAACACATACACACAAATATGTATGTATATATTTATGTTTATCGTCTCAACAATTTTTCAAGCTGTTTATAAATAATACATAGAGAAGGGATCACTTTGCATCTTGAACTGCCAACATACTTTTATTATTTTGATATTTTATTTCTTTTTGCTGTCTTTGACACATAATGCATTTAAACTCAGTTGTAAATTACCCGTATCCATGAAATGTTTGAGAAGTTCTCAAATTTTCAACATCTTTATAAAATGTTGAGAAAAGCAGAGTTCAGAAATTGCTAAGACTATAAATTTATAGGCAATGCACTATGTGATAAGTTTACTCCAGAGGACCCAGACTTGTTTTACACATACCTATTCAATAACTATAAGGGAATAAATTTAGTTCAGTTAAAAATGAAATTGCCAGCTGATTTGGCTAACTATTTATTTGCAAATACCCTTTGATTTTCTACTTATCTTTTGAAGGCAGTTTATTTTCACGGATCATTGACTGCCATTTGAGTAATTAATTAATTTGAGTTCTGAAACTTAAATTCTTTAAAAGAAAGTAATGTTTCAACTGTACAGCATTGAAAAGTTCTGCAGAACTGCAAAAATATCGTTTATATGTCATGCCTGGATTACACTGTGTGATTAACATCATTGTTTTAGTGGATGCAATTTTGGATAATCTCCCGTGTCTCATTAAATGTTTATCCTTTTTTTTTTTCTCCATGTGATTGGGTTTTAAAGATACTTTTCTTTTTATGTTTTTTTTTTCACACAAATGGTTTGTTTCATTCAGACACATATGAATGAAATCAACATAGCTTTTTTAAAACTCCCCCCAAAAAATCTCAGCTTTGAATATGAAATATCTTATTTTGACTTTCTTCGGTTAGCAGTTGTTTTTTTTTTAATTACGAACTATTCAAAATCTTTTTTTCAAAATTAATTGTTAGCTCTACTGATAAATGCCCTAATAAGCATCTGTTTTTAAGCATCTGTTTTTATCATGTTGCCCCAATTTTTTAATCTTTTAAGCTCAGGAGATTAGATGACTCTAATTACAATCTAACTTTTAAAAAGTTTGCTATAGTTTTTTTGCTTAAATGGTAGAAATTTAGCATTTCAAGTACCCAGTACCACTAACATGTTTTTCCAGCATATGAGTATTGTGACCATTGTTACGATCACTGTTACAGCAACTGATGAACACAAAATAGGAAGATTGATTACTAAATTTACTCAGCAGGCAAATCTAGTGAATCTAATTGTATTTTTTAAGCAAATGTTTTTTTAAATAAACAAATTGTAAAAAGTAATGGGCAAATAGTTATGGTAAAACTATATTGCAATAATAATCATTTCTTGGTGACCTCATTATACGCATACAGTTATGCAGTGGATACCAACAGCTGCACTGCAATTTCTATTTTAGATTTATCGTTAGCCATGTCTCTTGAAGTATAAAATGGGTAAAAAATTCATATGAGCTCTTTTAAATCGAAATGTTGATAACTGAATAGTGCTAAGCGAAATGCAAAAGTAAATATAAAATTAATATTAGTTTAAAAATGTTGTGGGGAGAGAGAACATCGCCTGGATTTTGTAATTTTTTGTCATTTTGGAATGTTTAGATATACAGTGTGTCACCTGGTATTTATCAACTGACAACTTTGTTTTAATTTTAAGTATTTATTTTTTTAAGCTGGTACAGGGTTTTAGTTTTAATTTCTTTTTAAAATTAAGAATAAGAATTGATATAGAAATGATGGTAAATTAGACATAATCCAATAAAGACTGGATAAACTTGACTCTTCATTAGATCTAATGATTTCCTTGAAATCACATTATATATAAACCGGTATATATATATTTTTTTTTAATAAATGAAATTTTCAAATTTTTGTCATGAAATTTTTTCTTTCTTCTAGGCTCTAAAGATTGATTTTATACTGTTTTTAATTTTAAATTGTACTTGGAGATAGTTGACATGCTTAACAAAATATTAAGTTTTGTTGTTTTTAAAATGCTGTGCATTTTTCTGTAAAAAAATATTGAATTGAAAATAAAGTTTTTTTTGTGGATAAAGTAGCAGTATAAAAAATGAATTTACAGACCTTTATAAATTAGAATATGAATATCAAGGAAATATTGTGAGACTGGACAGTAAATTAAATGAAGTTCTTAAATTTTCCTGTTTGTTTTTGTGCTGGCTCTCAAGAATTCTCAAGTCTTATAAGTATGATTTGTTGCAATATTTTAAAGTGTGTGCAGATACCCTATAATTTTAAATATACAGTAACATAAATTTTTTTTCCTAATGTGTTAAACTTAGACAGTGAAAGGAATTTTCGATTTAGGAAAGTTATGCAGCATAAAAATAATAATTTAAAAAATGTACCAGCAACATCCCCTATCAGGCCTATTTACTCTTTAATTAGGATACTAATGAATAACTTCCATGATAAACATTGGCTCTCTTCTTTGATATTTATATCAAGAAGTATAACACAGTTTAGAAACTGTATAGCATTATAAAGCAACATCGATTCAGCTAGTAAATTTTTCCCCTGTTTCGGAATAACTCCTTTGTTGATATGTGAACCCAGTCTTTATATGAATGAATATGGATTTGACATTGTCTTGTGAAGGCATCAACTTTTGTCAATAAAACAAAGACAGACTTTGTTACTTATATATTTTTTTCCCTCCCTTTCTGAGGAGCCCAATAGATATATTTATAAAATGTAACAAAGTGTAAAAAAAAATTACATGATTTTAAGTGGTTCTCTTTAATATTTGACCATTCTATATTATAACATTAAAAAAATATGCATCTTAAAATACCTCAGGATAATGTTATTTTTAAAATTTGAAATAGGAATACACTTTAGTAAGGTAATATGATTTTCATATCAAATACACTATAATTTTTGTAGACTTAATAATGAATACAAAATTGAAATGTTAGATATTTTATTATATTATTTTATTTCCTTTCTAAGTTCAAATAACATAACTATGAATAAATCTTCAACATTTTAAAATATAACAAAATATTAAGTTACATGATCAATTGCTTTAACAAAAACTATTCAAAATCAAAGTTATTTTACCGTTAACAAAAACAAATAATCAATAGAGTGAAAAAAACTTAAATTATTAACTAAACAATTTTTAAAATTCTCTAGTAAAGAAAAAAGATCTGTCAGGAACATATTCAACATTGATTATTCAAAATTAATGCTTTTTTAAAAATAATTACTAATAATATCAGTACCGGTATTTATGATAAAAATGTATATACCGTATCTAGTACAGTATAAACACTGTCATAGCATTTTGAAGACTTGCTGTTGATATCCAAGCAGATCAGCTATTTCTTTTATCTACTTCTACCTTTCTTAAGACTGGAAAAAAAAAAGTAATAAATTGTATCAATATAATTTATAAAGCACAATCTTTGGTAACACTGCAACTGGTGACAGGGAATGAATGGAAAGAAGTTCTTTAATCCGTATTTTAAAAAAAACAAAACTTTGGAACATTACTATTACTAACCGCTTGAAAGAATATTATTGAATTAGATTTAAAAACATTTAAATTAATTGCTCTTAGTCCAAATTTTCATCTACTACTTAGTACTAGGAAGGGTGACAGAAAGAAAAAGCCTACCCCCAATTTGTGTAGTTCTTTTGGTGCACCGCTGAATAACCAGACATCATCTTTCGACAACCAGACTGGTGTGCTGTGCACTCTTTGTTTGTGCTTTCTTCCTCTGGCCTGTTTGACAATAGATGTACAACTTGATGAAGACTGTGAGGAGTTTAAGGACTGATAACTGCTTTGTGACAGTTGTGATTCCAAATGATCCTGTTTGATTCCTTGGCATTTTCTTTTTCCAGGTGAACTGTTAATATTCAATGAATTTGTTGATCTTGAAATGCCAATTGGATTTGATTTCACTTGATTCCTTGTTACAATAAAGCTATTACTATTAGGACTCTTGATAACACTTGTTGACACAATATCCACTTCATCCGATTGTTTTTTGGCTCTTTTGCCCCTCAGCCTTATTGGGTCTTGAGAATCAACTCTCTTTGAATCATAAAGTACATCATCCTTGCCCCAACCCTGTTTACGCCTTTGAGCATCATCAACACCTTCATCATTCCCTTCAATTCTTTCTGATTCATAGACTATACTGCCACCATCACAGATTTCAATGACATCTTTATCAGACATATCAAAGCTAACTTCTCCATCATCATATTTCATTGTTTCCAATGGTTCTTTTCTGCCTTTAACTCTATATTTAGATACAAGATTATTTTCCTCTAAAATCAAATGTTTTTTTTTCTTTCTCTGGGATATTTGGGTATCACATGTGGATTTGTTTGACTTTTGTGATTGTGGGGTTGTATTATTTACCTTAGAGGTCCTAGCTGATGCAAGTGTTGGTACATTAGTTATTTTGGTCTGCAGAGATTTAATTTCTGCACATGATGCTGTGTACTGCTTTTCAAATCCAAGTTTGTACATGTTTGACAGCAAGCTTTGGGACTTTATTGTTGTGGCTTGGATCTGCTGTTTATGCTCTAAATGTTTAGTCTGCTCAAGTCCATCCTTTTGGTTTGCAGTGATACATATTTCTTTACACACAACATCCAGTAAGATGAGTTGAGGATTACAGTTGAAGGATTTTCCCCTTACTGTAAACATAACTTGTTGCCCTAATGGCCAAGGTAATATTTGTGGATAAAATATAAAATTTTCACTCTGTATAGGGATTTGTACCATGTTGCTATCAATTCTATATAAAACAGCTCTGAGAACATCTTCCATTTGTTGGCCAGCTGACGCTGATACAATGTTAAGTAAGGCAGCTTTTTTATCCTTGATTATTTTCTTGTATTTAAATTTGATCTTGTATACATAGTTTCTATGTTTTAAAAGCTTAACATGATTTCCTAATACAGGAATGCCTTTCCAATCCATACTTTTCAGATTAAATTTAAATGTTATATTGTAAATAAGACAAAGCTGCTGATATCTATATTATGTGTAAACAGTTTGAGTGTGATCAGTCTAAACCATTTGCTCAGACTCAGAGCAGTTTAAGTTTAAGACAAGTTTCACATTCTATGACAAGTTTCACATTCTATGACAAGTTTCACATTCTATGACAAGTTTCACATTCTATCTTTGGTCTGGAGTAAACATTGCACAAATAACCTATTACTATGCTGATAATTCAAATGTTGAGACATCATTGTTCATGATACCAGTATTCTGAAAATAGAAAATTCATATTTTATTATATTATTTATATATGCCAAACATAGAATGTGATAGTAATAAACTTCTTCTGACTTCTACTATTAATACAGCTTAATTAACTTATACCAGTACTAAGAAAGACTTAACTGGGACGTATACCCTGACTTTTACTCACTATTAATTTAACTTTGTAAGTATAAATTAAATACTAAATAAATAGTCAAAGCCCACAACTTAGACTAGAATAGCTAACTAGTTTTAACTTGGTAACTAAACTAGCACTTCCATTTAATAAATGATTTAATAATATTAATATACCGGTATTATTAATAAAACTATTAATTTATTATATTATAAATTATTTATTAAATTAAAAATGACTAAAGTGAGTATGATGAATAGGCCTAATAATAATAATATACTACCGGATAGTATAATGCAAAAATAAAGTACATCCTACTCTATAATAATTACTGTACCGATATTATCAAAGTGGCTATTCGAACCAAGGTCCCTTTAGATTAAATGGCTATTCGGACCCAATAGTCTTAATAATAAAAAATCCTGGTCCGAACTTGAGTTGATGGGCTTAATAATCCATTAGGTCTCACTTTCTTTTTGAAAATGGAGGTTGGTAACATGTTTGATACCGGTACATTTGCATCTTTTGAAGAAAAATTCAAAATTGTTGTAAAGAATACAATGTGTGTTTCACTAAAAGATCTTCAGTCAGAGAAAAATCAAAGATCCCAATTTGGAACACCTTAAATATGAATATGCTATGCTGCAAACAAGGTGTTAAACCACGATTCAATGGCTTCAACAGGACGAAGAAAATCACAAGAGTAAGTTAATTTAAATTTAGTCTGAGTCAAATTTGAGATACATAAGCCTTAATAGTAATAGTAATATAGATCTACTCTTCTTAAAAAAACTTTACTGATAACATTAACTTTGCTTCCTCCAACTTTCTGAATCATATTGGAGTTTTACCAGTTGGTCATGTCATGTAATATATAATTTCATTTTATGTCCAATAGTATGATTCTTATCACTTTTGGCAATTGGTTGAAAATTTTTTTATTTTTTGACTTTCAGTTCTTTCAAAGTGGGATGCCAGACCAAAGATAAAGCTTGTTGCCAAGAGAAATCCATCTTGGCTTGCAATTACAATTTCAATGCAGGAACATACTGGCCATGAAGTATCAAAAGAAGTACCATAAGTACATGTGCTGCTAAACATATTTACAAAACATATTCTTGTGGCCGTTTGTTGTCACCTGCCAACACTTACTATAGAGAGGGATGCATTTTAAGAGAATGTTTTATACCATTTATTAAGCACCTATTTGTATTTCTGACTAGAGTTTTATATCTTGACTGCGAAAAATAATAAACCTAAACATTTATCCCCGCGGTGAAGGTTAGTTATGTTTGCAGGATATATTTTTTTTACAAAATACTGCATCACCCTAAAGGCAATTATAAAAATACAACATTATTTTTGCAAAGTAACTCTTGTAACTTGTATGTTTTTTTCTCCAGATGTGCCACTTGTATTAGCCTCCGAAAAACTACAAGGTGGAACTAAATGTGGCAAAGCGTCTGTTGATATCCTGCACCACGATTCAGACATCTGAGGCTCGACAAGTGCTTGAACAACAGCATGATGTAGATTATCTTCCCACTGAAATTTACAACCTTAAGTCCAAAATAAATAAATCATCTTCTGATGCAAATGAAACTGAATCTATACTTGATTCTATATCACAAGCTGTGGAAGTGTGTCCTATGGACTAACAGAAAGTGGGGAATTTAAGTATTTATCATAACATTTAACATGATTAGTATTATTACCTGATATCCAGAGGTTTTATTTTCATAATAGATTTCACATATAATAAAACAGATAAATATTTATAGCCACTTTTGACTGTAATTGTTATTGATGTATCTGGGAAATAAAATACCTGGGGCGGACCAAAATCAGCACCTACTGTCTTGTAGGAAGTGGAGGGATCCACATTGGCTAGAGAACCAACCCAATACAAAGTCAGCTACCCTGAGAGCTGCAAGGGGAATCCCCCCAGACAATTGTTGGCAGGGCTGCCTTAGGAACAGGGTTTACAGTCAAAAGAGAGACAGTAAATGCAGTCATTGGGTTTAAACCAGTGAGTGAAAGACTATGCTTCATAAGGATAAAAGGAAAAATGTTTAACATCATGTTAATCTGCGCACATGCACCAACGGAAGATACAGATGAAAGTATGAAGGAAACTTTCTATGATACACTCCAAAGGGTATTTGATGAGGCACCATGCCATGATAACAAAATAGTCCTTGGCGATTTCAATGACAAAATTGGAAGCCTGCTTACAGACCAACAATTGGAAAGTCTGCTTGATGAGAGCAATGACAACGGAGCTACAGGAAAAGGAATGACAATCAGTAGCACAATATTCTGTCACAAATACATAAAGGGACATGAATATCTCCAGATGGATTTACCCGTAATCAACTTGACCACATACTCATTGACCAGAGGCATGGCTCAGACATATTAGTATCCACAACAAACAAAATAAAAGAGAAAAACAGTACAACATCCAGAAATTAAGCAGGGACCCAAAAATTACTGAGGAATATCAACAGAAGATTGAAACACAACTAGAATTATCCAAAAGGGAATCAGCCAGCAACGTTGATATAAATGAGCAATGGGAAAAGTTGAAGCAAATAGTAAAAAGTGTGACAAAGGAAAAGATTGGATTTAAACCGATAGTGAAAAGAACAGGATGGTATGATGAAGAATGCAAAGAACTTACAGAACAAAGAAACAAGGCTCGGCTAATGATGTTGCAAAGGGAGACAAGAAGAACAATGCAATTATTTAATGACACAAGAAGGGTGGCTAGCAAAATTTGTAGACAGAAAAAAACGTGTTTGGGAAAATCAAAAATAGTAGAGACAGAAGAGTTGGCACAAGAAAGAGATGTGAGGGGAATGTACCTGCAGATAAAGCAGGAAAATAATGGCTTTCAAGCAAGATCCCACATGTGTGAAAGTATGGGTGGAGAATTGATCACAGAGAGCAGTAGAGTACTAGAGAGATGGGTACAACACATTGAAGGCTTACTGAATGGCTCAGGTGGAGGAACCAATAAGGATTACGCTCTACCACAATGAGGACCGGGCCCACTGGTCAACCAACCAACATTGAATGAAATAAAAGATGTGATCTTCACCATGAAAAATAACAAACCCCCAGGAATAGACCTTATCTCTGCAGAACTGATAAAGCTAGGTGATAATGAACTACATAGGCAAATACACAACTTCATATCTAGAATCTGGCAGGAGAAAGGAATGCCAATAGAGTGGGACACTGCACTCATAATCCCAATTCACAAAAAAGGATCTAAGTTGGTCTGCTCAAACTACAGAGGAATCTCCCTCCTTAAAGTAATGTACAAAATCCTCACAAAACTTATAATAAGAAAACTGGAAAGGTTTAGTGAACAAATCCTAGGAGACTACCAATGCAGATTCCGGCAGAATAGGTCAACCACGGATCATATTTTTACTATTAGATGTCTCCTGGATAAATGTTACGAATATAAAATCGACATACACCAACTATATGTGGATTACAAAATAGCATACGATAGCATAGACAGGAATTACCTATACAATGCTCTATAGGAACTTGGAGTCCCTAACAAGCTTACCTTGCTCATACATATGACGATGGGTAACTCCAAAAGTATAATCAAAAAGTATAATCAAGGGGCAGGGAGAATACTCAAGGGAGTTCTCAGTTAATCAGGGTCTCAGACTAAGAGTTTCACTATCATGTATCCTGTTTAACATCACACTAGAAAAAGTTATTAGAAGCATATACGTGAGCACCAGTGGAACCATAACAAGCAACTTCCAGAGTGGTATTACAGAACAACAACCATCAGAAATCTTATATAGCCAGCCATTGCAGTCCCTGGCATACGTACGATATAGCGCCACTGGGCAGAAACAGTAATGACATAATTAAGGTATTCAGGGAACTTGAAAATGACTCAGTCAAAGTTCGTCTTGATGCAAATGAACCGAAGACAAAATATATGATAATATCACCAAACTCACACGCTGATGACAACATCAATATCAAAAACCACAAATTTCAGCGAGTGGCTACATTCAAATATCTAGGGGCAACTATAAACGAGCACAAAGAAATAATGTCAGAGGTGAAAGAAAGTATAACAGCAGGCAACTGTTCCTATTTCAAGCTACAAAAGCTACTGGGAAGCAAAAACCTCTCAAGGGGAACAAAGAAGACAATATACACGTAAGTTATTATCAGTCTTATGAAAGTGACTAGTAAGACTTGGAGTCTTAATTGATTGATTTTTTATGATTTTTTGTAAAATGAACTTTCAATATTTTTAACATTGTGCTTTGGCTCATTTTTGTTGGAAATAAAATTTGTATTTACATGTTAGTTGCAACCCTGAAAAAAACTGAGTGTGTCATATGTTTATAACTATAACTGGTTGTGTGTGCAAGAGATTTGAAAGTTCCAACCAAGTTATTTCATAAAATAGCCGGTGTCAAAACTACTTATTATAAGTCATCTGAAAATTGACCCTGTTCCCGAGTTTTTAAAAATTCATAACTTTCTTGAAATTCGAGACAGAGAATTATAATTAGTGGTTTTGTTCTAATTAAGCCAAGCTTTATTTAGAGGAATAGTTGAATTTTATTTAATTTCATTATGAAATTTTTATTTAGAATTCCGAATTTATCCGTAAAGTACTGTGTACTTGTGTAATTAAATCTTTTAACTTAAACAATACAGATTTCTTTAAATTACTAAATGATTTAATCATATTTAATGTAATACTTTTCTAAAAATCTAATAAATGTATCTTCATCATCTTAATTACCGGTGCTAGATAAAAAAAGCCTGTTCTACAATCATGGCTTTTAAAAAAACAAGAAAAAAAATTCAACAAAGCAGCAAAAAATTATAAAAAATAAAACTATTAATATGAAATAACAAGGAAAAAAAATTAATTTCTCATATAGCCATTTAATCTAAACTGAACCGGGGCCAAATCTAAGAGACCCGTCCCGGTTCTAAATAGCCATTTTGTAATTATATTACATTAACTTAACTATGTATCATACTATAGTGTTACTATTACTATTATTTTATAAATATTATAATAGACAACCAGTATACTTACTGTATACTCCTTTTAATATTAACTTGTTACAGTATTTAGAAGTTAGACTTCAAATTAAAAACATAGCCTTATTGACTGTACATTTTAAAATTTTTAGCATTTAATAGATTTAATAATAGTATCAGTATCATAGTACCGGTATAATAATGAATGCAAATAGAAAATATTTAATGTACCGGTAAATGTAACTGCGTAAGTCTTAGAGCCTAAGACTAAGGGGTCGTCCATTAATTATGTCAACAAAACAGGGGAGGGAGGGGATTTGACAGTTGTTTACGGGGGGGGGGGGGGGGGGGGGGGGGGTAGATAGTTGACGTCAACAATCATGTTTTCTCTACTAAAATTTTAATCTTAAAAATAAACTAGTTATTACATTATTTTAACAAATTTAATGAGTGTAAATTGTAGTGATGGGACGATTAATCGGAATCGTATCGGAATAATCGAAATATCAGGATTTTTCCAAAACATCGGGAATCGGTATCGGAACTGAATAATTCAGACCCGATTCCAATACCAAAACAATTCTTAACCGATTACTGCCGTAAGCTGGTGACAGCGCAAAGTTTGTTTCCATATAAAACCTTTCCAAGACATTGTTATCTAGCATATTGTAAAGCTTCAATAGCAAGTTAATAAACTTTTCTAATCAATTCTCAACTTTTATATTAATTAAATATGTTAATAACATAACTGGGCACAGTAATATATATCTGTAATAATCGCCAGGAATCGGAATCATATCGGGATAATTGGGTAGAATCGGAATCGTATCGGAATCGTTAAAAATTTTGGTATCGTCCTATCACTAGTAAATTGAAATAGTCATATAATTTTTAGGCTTCTAACAATATAAAATTTATTCAATGTGATTGTCGGTAAGATGTTAGTACACTTTCTTCTTCTTCTATATCTTAGTCTTAAGGGCCCACGATCAATTTATTGATCATTTTGGCTCCTATGCATGTAGATGGGATTTGCAATGTTTCTGTTCCTGGTGTTGAAGAGGAAATTTCACAGATTTCCAGTGCCACTTTGTGAGGGAATCATGCACTAGGGGTTTGAAGGCTTGAGGCAATAGACACAAATCTGTCTAGTGTTGTCGCCTCAACCTTTCCTTTTGAAAGATTGTTCCAGTCCCTGATTGTCTTTGGCAGGAATGGGCAGCTCCTATACTGGCTTCTCGCTGGTATGAGCCTGAATTGCCTGTCATGGCCTCGTCGCTGTCTATGGGGGAGAGGGACGAGTTTCTGTTTAATAATCGCCAGGAATCGGAATCAATAACAGTGGACCAGCCCATTATTTATCTTGTACATCATGGAGAGCCTGGATTGTCGTCGTCATTTCTCCAATGGTGACCAGCCTAGTGTTTCCAGCATGCTGCCAACACTAGAGGTATTCCTGTAGCGGTTTAGGACAAAGTGTGCTGCTCGTCGCTGGACCGCCTCCAGCCTGTCAATGCTCTTCTGGGTAAATGTTAGAGCAAGAGAAGTCAAAAGTTGGCCGCTCTTCGCCTGTAGATTCTTTTTGTCGCAAATAACTAGGGAGGTATGTTTGCGATCGTGTTTCAGGTATGGAACAAGGGCAAGGTTCAAGTGTCATGTGCAGTCAATGTAAATGATATAGATAGAGTAGGAACATGATATTTTGAGAATTAGGGGAAAGTAAAGTGAGTAACAATAATAACATTGCTGCTTGAATGGATCTGCAAAATCTGTAACATCTATTTTGCATCACAAGTCATGTTGAAATAGCATGTTCAACAGCACCGACAACGCATAAGGCATAAGAAATTACCACCTGCTCCTCAACAAAAGAAGGATTTGACTAATGCAAGTAGCTGCCAGGAAACAGAGAGAGCTTATGGCAATTATTGCTCACACTGACAATGCTTCTATTTTAAGTGCTAAATGGTTAGATGAGGATGATGTTGACTTGTCTGGTATTTCAGTTCTGCAAGATGAAAATGATACTATGTCCATTGCTACGATAGAGCAACACCTGGCTACTCCAGGGCCTGGGAAGATGATAGCAGCTATAAACTATGATACGATAGTCAGCTATACTGACAATAATCATATTTATACTTCCACAAACAATGATATTTAAACAACCTTTTCATTGATTCTGCATTGTAAAATTTATGTGTAAAAACTTTTAAACTTTTTGATTAACAAGCTAAAGAAGCAATAAAATGTTCTTCCTACAATTTTGTGTTATTAAGATAGATGAGCACAAAGTAACATGTATTTTTATTATATATTTATTTTTATTATAATTCAATTTGGTATGTGTGTGTGTGGGGGGGGGGGGGTTTAAAAACGTTTAAAATATTAAGGGGATGTTTGTGATTCGTAAAATTGTTATTTGGCTTGGGGTGGAGTGTGTGTCATTGGAAGTTTGAAAGTTGTTGACAAGGGCAAGAGGGAGAGTAAAACATTGCTTAAAAATTGTTGATGTAATAAATGGACACCCCCTAAGACTTTATGAATGGGTATTAAATAGGTTCTCTGATTAATATAATTATTAATTATAGGCCTAATATTTCGCCAATATAAATTTTAAAAATATAATAATATTAATAATATCAGATTAATTAAATACATGACATTTAATAATATATAATACCTTATTTTTTACTATGTCATGTCTATGTTGCTGCAGTTGCTGATGCTTACTTAAAAATTAATCAAAGACTTAACTATGCCTATGCTATGACATAGGCCTACTATAAATACAATTACAATGATGGGCACTAATGACTAATGGCATGGGCTTTGGCTTCAATCATCAATAACTTCTCTGACTTATCATATAAAACGAAATAATTGATCACTCACTTAGTACTATTGTCTATTACTAGTCTGAGTGCTGACTAATTAGTACCGGAACTATGTGTCAAAAAGCTTTTATTACTGACTTGTGTACCGGGGTCCCGGTACTAGATAGTAGTCGTGAGAGTTAGTAATCTGCAACGGTAAGTTCAAATTTCAAATAGAGTTATCTGTCTTGTGTTTTGGAAACTGAAAGAAACATAGTCGTAGTCGGATAATGACACATGGGGGAGACTAGAAAACAATTTTTTCTTTTAATAAATAAATAATGTAATAATATAACTACACTTTAAAATAACATACAATTAAAATTGAAAAAAAACACGATTTTCTCTGAACAAATGTATAAACTCAGCCTTATTTCTGTTCACACTTAAACGATGTACACTCTAACTCTAACTACACAACCCTGAAAGTTGAAAGACGTTCGTCAGTCATTGTCGAACTCGAACGAAAGCCAAGTTTTGACTCGTCTAATGGTTCTAAAGGGTGCATGTTATTGTTGATAAAGAAAGTGAAATCAGAATAGCTTGGCGAATAGATGGTGAAAAGTATGTGCTTGGCAGCAAGTCAATAATAATAATAATAAAGTTTATTTAACACGCTTCGAAGTGCAATAAAATACAAAATGCATTCAGACAAAATCTATATACAAGCCAATGGACGATACAAGCTAACTTGAATCGAGAAATATGAGCAAGCTCCTTGGAAAACAGGAGGTATCCTACATCACACCAACAAGTGAGTGCGAAAAAGATGTGTTTTCAACTCAGTTTTGAAAGACTGCAGTGTCTGGCTGTTTCTGAGAGCGACTGGAAGGCCGTTCCAGATTCTTGGGCCAGCAAAAGAGAAAGTGCGCTCTCCGTTGGTCTCAAGGCGGACTCGCGGTATCCAGAGTTTGCCACTATCGGATGAACGGAGTGATCTAGGGGGTACGTAAGGCGTCATGAGCGCTTTGAGATAGGGCGGCGCCAGGTCATGCAAGCAGCGGTAGCAAAGAGTTGCAATTGTGTACTCTTTCCGAGCGTGGACCGGCAGCCAATGCAGCTAAGAAGTGTTTTAGCATGGTCAAATTTGCGCTTGCGCAGAACAATGTGAGCCGCATTATTATGTGCTTTTTTAATCCTATCCAGGAGCGTAGCCGGAAGACCGACAATGAGAACATTGCAGTAGTCCAGGCGTGATTGATGCATCCAACATTAAGAAAGGTTTGATATGACTAATTCTGCGCAGCTCTAGAAAAATTGCCTTGCAAAGCATGTTAATGTTATTTTCCATAGTTAGTGCTCTGTCTAAGTAGACACCCAGGTTTCAAACTGTTTGAGCAAACTCAAACTGCACACCTGAGAGAGTAAGGGATGGTGTGTTATTTACAGATTTTAGCTTTTAAGCGGTAGCAATGGGGATCAGCTCTGTCTTTTCATCGTTCAATTTGAGCTTGTTTATGGTCATCCAGTGCATAACTGACTCCAATGTTGTGATTGAGTAACGGCAGTTGACGATGTAGTTTAGTTGTGTAGATAGATTGCAGGTAATTTTGAATATCTTTTGATTAATACTGTAATCTCAAAAAATCCAACCAGCTCATTGCTTCAAGCTCAAAGTTTTCAACTACTTATAAATGTTTGGGAAACCACCATGCGTGCTTTTGGGATAAGTTTTATAATTTATTTCTCGGGAGCCCTTGGCCTTGGGTATTATTTTATAAATTTTTATCTTTTTTGAAAGGGGAAGTTATTATCTTTACAACTGTCTATTTGAAAGCCCGAAATCTTTACATCGTGTGGCGTGACATGACAATAAAAAAAAATGTAATTGTGTGTTACCAAAACAGGGTAAAATGATCAGAGCATATGTCACAGGCTTTCTTTTTGATACATTTGTATGTTTTAATAAATAAAGAAATTGTTTTCAAGAATTTTATATGAATGGTCTTGGCGAAGGATTACATCATTTGATTGGGATCTCGGGGATGAATAAAAAATGTTTATTTATTAAAATTTACTTTTTTTTAAAAACTTTTCTTCTAAAATAATACTTACTAATAATCCTCTAAGGGATAATATGATGCAGTATATGTTTTCCTTTGAAAAAAAAAAATTATTATTTTTTGAAAATAATTTTGATTTTTTTCTAGCAATATTTCCTTGAATGATATGTTGCCTACAAAAAGTCATAACTTTTTTATTTATGAGTCTATTCTTTCGAAATTTGAATATGTATTGTAGTATTGAACAGATTCTAATAAAATATCAATTTTATTGATATATCTGGAAACATTTTTTTTTCCTTCTTTGTAAAAATATGATGTTATGTTTTTGTCAACTTAAATTTTTTTTTTTTATCAAAAATAATTAAAAAATCTAATTTAGCAAGGATATTTGGAACAAATACCAAATATCGATTAAAGAGCATCCCATTACCTTTAAAATGATATATAATACTTGTAGGTAGCTACAAAATTACAGCCATGAGACACAGTGAAGAATAATATATATATTCAAAGTCATTAAAAACTGGAAAAAATCTACAGTCTTTTGAGAGTTAATGTCAGCTGTGTAATTCAGTCTTAGTCAGGACATGTTTAGTGTTAGCTGTGTAATTCAGTGTTAGCCAGGACTTCCTTAGCCTGTATTATTTGTGTATGTTCAGGTATTGTCTTTTTTCTTTGGACTGTTTCTTTAGACAATTTCTTTAGATTTTAAAATAAAATGAGTAAAACAGAGTATGGCTAAACCTGAAAAATTAAACGCAACAAAACAGCGAACGTGTCGGCAGAAAGCCTTCGTCAGCGAACAAAACAACAGAAAAAACGTTATAAAAATAAGAAATAGCACTTAGCTGGTAAGTAGTATCTGTGGGCAGCAATAGAAGTCAAAAGACAAAAACAATGCGCAACATTCAGTATTTTGTCAATTTTCAACAAGATATACTGGTCGTCCATACATACGAGGGCTTCATCTCAATTTTAACTAAAACTGCAATAGCCAAGAATTTGTCATACATATTTTTTTAAACTGAGTTTCAACATTCTGACGATGTTCACGGAAAACGTCCCTTACTTTACAAATTAATATTTTTATGTACTCTAACCAAAGCAGCTGCATAGTCTTGTAATGATTAAGTTACTGTTCCTGTATCGATGGGTATGTAAATATAGTCACAAGGCATCCGAGCAATGTAGGTAGAGAAAATGAACACAAGCTGGTGAGCACCTTGTCGCGATTTACCCGTGTCATTTGTTGCCAGCTTGTGATATCGATTGCTTATCACCTCGAAATTCTCACTGAAAATGAGAATGCCTTTTTAATTTGAGGACCATCGAATTTATAAAAAAAATGTTAATTAGGTAACGGTATTATCAACCATCGCTTTATGCGTTCTCGAAAAAAACTTAATGAAAGCTCAGATTTCACCAATGGCGCTATGCACTTGAACATTTGAGTTCAAATCGTTATGACCAGATTGAGCCGTTGAGCAGAACAAGGAGCAAAGCTGCTTTTGGTCAAATCTTGCGTATATTAGCCTGAACACCGCCTTCTTTTCCTGCCATTGTGGAACAGCCGTCATATCCTTGTCCAAGCAATTTTGTCATGTCCAGGCCAGATTGAATGCGATGATTCACTGTTGTCATTTGCTTCAGTGGCTGGAATCCGGTACATTCTTCATAAATGTTAAATTCACTCTCTGCGTTGTCTACACCGCCAACGACAATTATTCTATTCTTGATATATCAGATGTTTGATCGGCTAATATTTTGAGAATGCTTCAGACTTCAGATGTATTTACTGATATAATAATTTGTTTCTTTATTACTTTCTCACATATCTCTTATGACGCAATCACTTATCTCAATCAATTGATTTTTTGGGTCATGTGACAAGCATAAGGAGCATTATCAACGGACGTCTGCAAGTGTGTCTCCAGGTCTTTGTCACCAGCCTCCACTCTAAACTGAAATAGATCATGAACATTTCTACTGCACTATTTTTACAAAGAATGGCGATCTCGTGTGTTCCGCAGAAAATTATTGTGGATAATATCGGCAAAAGCTTATTTCAATTTTCTAAAATCTCATAGGAAATAGACTTGTCTATCTGACTTAGGATATGTCGGTCTGGATTCCTAATGATACTGTTGCATCCTGCTGAGCACCTTTTTAATACTCACTTTACACAGGATTACGGGTACCTTGAGGACAGTCATTGTACTTCAATGATGAAAGATGTTGCTAGAAATGCAACTTGGTACCCGCGATGAAGCGGTTGCGGGGAAAAAAAAATATATCTACTGGACTTGTAAGATGTGCCATATCATAACACAAATTATTACCGGGTATGTTTTGATATTTCGGTGTCAAATTAGAATGATGGCAATAGTAGGGGGCCTAATGAATTGCAGCTCTGATAACTACTGACAGCAGCTTTAAACCCCTGCGAGTGTGAAATAGTCAGGTCACCTCTTTTAGTTTGTTCTTCAACTTGTTGGTCTTCTCTTGTCAGTGTCGTTGATGTGGACACAGTTGTTAAGACTTATATACAACCAGGCCCGTCGACAGAAATTTCGGGCCCCTAGGCAGGGCTGTCACGGGCCCCCGAGGTCTGAGCCTCTAAACTATCTTTAGGCTTTATGAGAATTAAAAAAAAAAATTGACAGATCGTGTGGGTGTGTTCAAAATAGAGACCGGCACGGGCCGAATTTACCAAGCCGGTCTCTCTGGTCGTGTCACGTGTGACTCGTGTTCAATAATTGATGTTTATTTCAGCAGAAGAAAGTCCTAAGACAACGGATTGACGAAATTGCATAAAAATGATAAAATGGTAAATAAGTACGGCAATATTCAGATGCTTGAAGTTTAATCTGATTGTAATTAAGTTTAGTTAAGTTATATTTACAAAAGCATAAGTAATACATTTTTTATAGCTGATCATAATATTTTCAAAAGTTGATTCCGGGCCGGGCCCCTAAAACTCGCCGGGCCCCTGAGCATTCCCCCCCCCTGCCCCCCCCC